CTGGCCTTGAGCTGAAGAGCTGAGGGACAGCGCCCAGGCCCAGAGTTCAAGCCCCACGACTGACAAAAAAATAAAAAATAAAATACACTCAGGGAAGGAAGTTTATTTCTCCCTTCATCTAGTTTATTGTTTCACAGATACTATAAAACAGTATTATGAGCATTGACTCAACTAATGAGAGCCTTTTTCTTTTTTCTTTTTTTTGATCTGAGATTGGGACTCAAACTTAGTATCTAAGCTTTCACTCATTTGTAGGCTCTACAACCTGAGCCATGCCTACAATCCCAATTACATATAGCCTTTATATTATTATTTAGTTTTGTCCTTTTGTTTTTTGTTTATTCGTTTAGTTGGTTGGTTTTATTTTGGTTGTGGAGCTTGAACTCTAAGCCTGGGCACTGCCCCTGAGCTCTTCAGCTCAAGGCTAGCACTCTACCACTTGAGCCACAGTGCCACTTCTGGTTTTCTGGTGGTTAATTAGAGATAAGAGTCTCAGAGACATTTCTGCCCAGGCTGACTTTGAACTGTGATCCTCAGATCTCAGCCTACTGAGTAGCTAAGTTTACAGATGTAAGCCACCAGTGCCCGACTCCATTTTTATTTTTATCTATTTTATCTATACTATAGTCCCTTCTCAAAGAAAGCAGTCAATTTTGCACTTGATAAATGATTGGGTCTGCCAAATTATAAAACATAAGTCATAGTTTTATAAATGTCCTTTCCTTTTTTATTTAATTTCAGTAAGAATAGTCCAGATATTCTTTATTCTAAACTAAGTTTAGGATTTTAAATTTGCTAAGTTGATAAACTAAGCTAATAATAGGTTTTGTATTACTAGCCAGGCGCTGGCGGCTCACATCTGTAATCCTAGCTACTCAGGAGGCTGAGACCAGATGATTGCAGTTCAAAGCCAGCCCAGGAAGGAAAGTCTGTGAGTCTCTTACCTCCAATAAACCACCAGAAAACTGGAAATGGCACTAAGCTCAACTGGTAGAGCGCTCACCTTGAGCTGAAGAGCTCTGGGACAGCGCCCAGGCCCAGAGTTCAAGCCCCCACAACTGACCCAAAAAAAGAAAAAAAGAAAGAAAGGAAGAAAGAAAGAAAGGAAGGAGGGAGAAAGAAAGAACGAAAGAAAAGAAAGAAAGAAGAAAGAAAGGATGACTTGTCCATTTTTGCTGGGAATTAACCAGAGCCTTGTGTACACTAGACAAAGCATTATAACACTAAGCTACTTCATTAGCCTTTTTAAATTTTTTGCCAGGCGCTGGGAAGGTGGCTCAGTCGTAGAATGTTTGCCTTGTATGCATGAGGCCCTGGGTTCAATTCCTCAGCAGTGCATAAGCAGAAAAAGCTAGAAGTGATGCTGTGACTCAAGTGGTGGAGTGCCAGCCTTGAGCTAAAGAGCTGAGAGACGGCGTTCAGGCCCCATGACTGACAAAAAAAAAAAAAATGCCGATACTGAGGCTTGAACTCAGAGCTTGGGAGCTTTTTTTTTTTTTTTTTTGCTAGTCCTGTGGCGTGAACGTAAGAGGTAGGCTCTGTCCCTGAACTTTTTTGTTCAAAGCTAGCACTCTACCACTTGAGCCACAGCTCCATTTCTGGCTTTTTGTTGCTTAATTGGAGATAAGAACCTCATAGACTTTTCTGCTTAGTCTGGCTTCAAACCTTGATCCTCAAGTCTCAGTATCTTAAATAGCTAGGATTATAGGTGTGAGCACCCCATAACTGGCTCATTTTTTTATTACAATTTTATATAGGTTTCTCTTTTGTCCCTTGTAAAAACTTAAACTTTCAGAGTTAATGTTCTTTTTTTTTTTTTTGGGTCCGGTAGTGGGGCCTGAACTCTGGGCCTGGGCACTGTCCCTCAGCTCTTCAGCTCAAGGCTAGCGCTCTACAACTTGAGCCACAACGCCACTTCCGGCTTTTTTCTTCTTGCTTATGTGGTGCTGAGGAATCAAACCCAGGGTCTCAGGCATGCAAGGCAAGCGCTCTACCACTGAGCCACCTTCCCAGCCCCAGAGTTAATGTTCTTAACCATGGTTTATAAATAAAACTTAAGTTCAATATAGATGTAAATTTATCATCAGGTTGCTTATTACTACACATTAAAACCATAATAATTTAGGTCATGTGAAGGGAGTGACCAATGCTCTCCCTATATGCATGTAAATTGTTTTGTTTGTTTGTTTATATTTGCCAGTCCTGGATCTTTTGTTTTTGTATGTTTTTTATTGTAAAAATACTGTACATAGGGGTTACAGTTACGTGAGCAAGGTAATGAGTACATTTCCTGTTGAGCATTGTTGCCTCCAAGTTCTGGATTTTGAACTCAGGGCCTGGGCACTGTCCCTGAGCTTCTTTTGTTACTAAGGAATCGAACCCAGGGCTTCATGCATGTTTACTCAACCACTAAGCCACATTCCCACCCCTATTTATTAAAAAAAATTTTTTTGCTAGTCCTGGGGCTTGAACTCTGGGCCTAAGCACTGTCCCTGAATTGTTTTTGCTCAAGGCTAGTATGCTATCACTCTAGTCCCACTGCTTTCAGCTTTTTCTGAATAGCTTGTTGGAGATAAAGAGTCTCATGGACTTTTCTGCCCAGGCTGGCTTTGAACTGCACTCCTCAGATCTCAGCTCCCTGAGTAACAGATTACAGGCGTGAACCACCAGCACCCATCTTATAAATGTATATTGTATCAACTTGTTTTCCCTTACTAGTTTTTAAATTTCAGGCTGAAAGAATATTCTCAGAAGTTAGAAGGATTGAAAATTACAGAGTTGAAGGCATGGAGATCTACTCTACAACACTCTGGCATCTTCAAAAAGATGTTGCTCTTTCAGTTCTTTCAAAAGATTTAACAGACATGGATAAAAATTCACCAGAGGTATGTTGATCAAAACATAGTTCCTTTTTTTTCTTTTTTTGCTCTGCTGGGGAGTGGAACCCATGGCCTCTGAGCGTGCTGGCAAATACTGTGCCCCTGAGCTATACTCTCACTCCCAGCCCCTCTGTAGTTAGGTTTTGTTTACTCATACCAAATGGGAGATCTAAAGAATGCTTGTTCAGACTCAGCTGAAACTGTGCTCCTTTGAGCAGCCCGAATGTTGAATCCTTGAATGGCTACCAGAGCTTTGTGAGTACTGATTTTGGTTTTGCAGATAAATTTTGGTCTATCAGCAAATACAAACTCTCCTATGGAGAATGAACATCGTCTCTTAGCTGGAGCCTTTTGTTTTTTGTTTATCTGTACTAAGTGAATTATAAGGTTTGGTTAGTCATAGGGTTTTATTTAAAAAAATAAAATTTTAATTGTATTTTTACTTTTTGTTCCTTTCCGTTTTGCTCAGGCCTGGTGTGCTGCGGGGAACTGTTTCAGTTTACAACGTGAACATGATATTGCAATTAAGTTTTTCCAGAGAGCTATCCAGGTTGATCCAAATTATGCTTATGCCTATACTCTACTAGGGCATGAGTTTGTATTAACTGAAGAACTAGACAAAGCATTAGCATGTTTCCGAAATGCTATCAGAGTGAATCCTAGACATTACAATGCATGGTAAGTGCTAATGAAATGCAAAAACCAAGGCTTATTTATTAATGACTTATTACAGTAATGAGATACCTAACAAGAAAAATTACTGAGTACCTGATACATATTTTTGTATTTTTTATGTATTATATCTCATTTCTAAGTAGTTACACTGCTGAAATGATGGCCAAAAAAGCTAGCTTTTGTTGATAGATGAAACAACCTAGCATTGCTTGTGCTGCTATCCCTTCATATATGTAGTTCTCTGTAATATTGTTGTTTTTAACTGTTTTATTTTGTTCTTATTATTTTATTTTTATAAGTTTACTTATTTTTGCCCCTTTGGGGGCTCTAATTCAGTATCTCCCACTCTTACTTGGCTTGCTTGTTCATAGCTGGCACTGTATCACTTGAGCAACACCTTTAGTCAAGCATGTTGTTAAGTGGAGATAGAACCTCACTTTTTTTCTTTTTCTTTTTTTCTTTTTTGCCAGTTCTGTGATTTGAACTCAGGGCCTGGGCTCTGTCCCTGAGCCTCTCTGTGCTCAAGGTTAGCGCTCTACCATTTGAGCCACAGAGCCACATCCAGCCTTTTCTGTTTATGTGGTACTGAGGAATCAAACCCAGGGGCATGTATGCTAGGCAAGCACTCTACCACTAAGCCACATTCCCAGCCCTCACAGACTTTTCTGCCCAGGCTAGATTTGACCTATAGTCCTATAGAACTCAGCTTCCTGAATAGCTAGGATTACAGGCTTGAGCAACCTATACCCAATTAAAGTGTTATTTAACAGATTAGGATTTGTTGACTACTTAGCAGTGGCTACATTCTCAATAAATTTTCTTACCAAAACTTCTCTAACAAGGAGGACTATTCAAACTGGCAAGTACTCAATAGGAGAATTTTAAATACTGAATTATTTTAGATGGCATTAAGTAAACATTGAACTGATTCATTATTTTTTTTATTTATTTTTTTGGTTGGTTGTGGGGCCTGAACTCTGGGCTTGGGTGCTATCCCTGTGCTCTTCAGCTCAAGGCTAGCATTCTACCACTTGAGCCACAGTGCCACTTCTGGCCTTTTCTGCTTATATGGTGCTGAGGAATGGAACTCAGAGCTTCATGAATGCAAAACAAGCACTCTACCACTGAGCCACCTTCCCAGCCCCAAGAACTTAATTTTTTTTAATGATAACTTAATGGAATTCCAAAATACATAATCTTTCCTGTGTTATTTCCACCTATACTTTTATTAATATAGACTTTTTATACTTTTCTTGTCACATACCACCATTAAATGATAAAGCTACTAAAGGCAAATGTTTTGTCCATTTTTTTAATTCATTGGTGCATATTCCTAAAAAGATCTTTTTATTAACCATATATTTTTATATATTTTATAACCATATATACATCTTGAAAACATAGAAACAGTTCCTATCAAACCAATACAATACACTGTAACATTAAATTACAATTTTAAAGACTATAATAACTTAGGAGAGCATGGTTTTCATAAAATATATATAGTAAAGCCATATATGACATTCTGTATAATATAATACAATTATAGCAATATAAAAGACTTGTGCTGGGGGCTGGGGGCTCATACCTGTAATCCTAGCTACTCAGGAATCTGAGATCTGAGGATGGTGGTTCAAAGCCAGCCTGGACAGGAAAGTCTGTGAGACTCTCATCTCCGATAAACCACTCAGAAAACCAGAAGTGGCGCAATGGCTCAGGTGGTAGAGTGCTAACCTTGAGCTGAATTGCTGAGGGGCAGCATTCAGGCCCAGAGTTCAAGCCCCAGGACCAACTAAATAAATAAATACATAAATAAATAAATGACATATGTGGCTTAGTAGTATAGTGCTTGCCTTGCATGCATGAAGCCCTATGTTAGATTCCTCAGTGCCACATAGATGAGAAAGCCAGAAGTGGCGCTGTGGCTCAAGTGGTAGAGTGTTAGCCTTAAGCAAAAGAAGCTCAAGAACAGGGCCCAGGCCCTGAGTTCAAGCCCAAAGACTGACAAAAAAAAAAAAAGACATAATGTACATTTGGACAAAGAATATGGAAATAGCACTTGTTAGGTCAGGTTTTAAAATCATTAAATAAGGCCCTGATAAGATCCTTAGTAGCTGTATAACATTTTTATTTTTATTTATTTATTTATTTTATGTCAATACTAGGGCTTGAACTCAAGGCCTCATGCTCTTGCTTGGCTTTTGCACTCAAGGCTGGCACTTTACCACCTGAGCTACAGCTCCTCTAGCAATTTTGATGGTTAGTTGGGGATATGAGTCTCTTGGATTTGTCTGTACTGGCTAGCTTCAAACTACAATCCTCAAATCTCATCTTCCTGACTTGCTATGACTGAGCATCCTTTACCAGCTTTTAGCTATATAACATTAAGCAAAGAATATAAATACTCTGAGCTTCATTCTTATTTCAGTTGGGCAATGATAACAATCTTCTCTTGGTTCTTTTTAGGATTAAGTGAAATAATTTATATTAAGAATTTAGCACCTGGTAGGTGGTAGAGGGTTATTCTGGCTTAAATAAATACATGCACATATAAAATACTATGATAAAATCCTTGGCACAATTAGTATATACTTATTAAAAAGGAATGACAGGAAAGTAAAACAAATTTCATTGGTAGTAGGTACCAGCAGGATGAAATAAAACAAATGGAGGGGTGATTGAGGGTGAATATGATTGATGTACCTCATACACATATATGAAAATAGAACAATAAACTCGTTGAAATTGCCTAAGAAGAGGATGAAGAGATGAGGGATATTGAAGAGGTGTATACTTGTGTGGAATGAAACTCTCCTTGTATAATAACTACTGTATGCTAACTTAAAAAATCAGTTACAAGCCGGGCACTGGTGTGTCATGCCTATAATCCTAGCTACTCAGGAGCCTGAGTTCTGAGGATCTCGGTTCAAAGTCAGCCTGGGCAGGAAAGTCCGGGAGCACTAGCCTTGAGCTGAAGAGCTGAGGGACAGCGCCCAGGCCCAGAGTTCAAGCCCCACAACCACAAAAAACAAACAAATCAGTCACTGCTGGACGCTGGTGACTCACCCCTATAATCCTAGCTACTCAGGAGGCTGAGATCTGAGGATCAGGAATGGCCTTGAGTCTCTGTGTTTTTCTTGTTTTGTTTTGTTTTGTCGGTCTTGGGAGCTGAACACTGGGCCTGGGCACTGTCCCTCAATTCTTCAGCTCAAGGCTAGTGCTCTACCACTTGAGCCACAGCCCCACTTCCAGCTTTTTCTGCTTATGTGGTGCTGAGGAATCAAACCCAGGTCCTCATGCTTGCAAGACAAGCACTCTACTACTGAGCCAACTTCTCAACCTGCCCTGAGTCGCTTATCTCCAATAAACCACCAGAAAAACCAGAAGTGTGCTATAGCTCAAGTGGTAGAGTGCTAGCCTTGATCTGAAGAGCTCAGGACAGCACCCAGGCCCAAAGTTCAAGCCCCACAATCAACCAAAAAAAAAAAAAATCACAAATGGGAAGAGAGAAGGAACAAAGTGGTATAGACACAAACAAGACTTTTCTTTGTATGATTAAAAAAAAAATGGAGCCTGTTGCTTATGACTCACACCTGCAATCCTAGCTACTCAGGAGGCTGAGATCTGAGGATCACAGTTCAAAGCCAGCCTGGGCAGGAAAATCCAAGAGATTTATCTCCCGTTAGTCACCAGAAAACTAGAAGTGGCACTGTGGCTCAAAGTGATAGAGCACTAGACTTGGTCCTAAAGACTTCAGGGACAGTGCCTACGTCCCGAGTTCTAGCCCCATGACCAACAAAACAAAACAAAAAAACTCTCCTGAATGTTTAATTAATTTTTATTGTAACTAAGACCACCAGTATTTTTTCACTGCTTTTTAAGATACCAGATATCATACATAGCATTTTAGTAGTTGAAATAAGCTGGGAACTAAAAGTTTTAGCCCTAAAATTAACTTTGTTTTATACTTTCAGGTATGGTTTAGGAATGATTTATTACAAGCAAGAAAAATTTAGCCTTGCTGAAATGCATTTCCAGAAAGCACTTGATATCAACCCTCAAAGTTCCGTTTTACTTTGCCACATTGGAGTAGTAAGTAAATATTTGTGCTCTTCTACTGCCCTTTTAAAATATTTTTATCGATTCACTTGTTATATGAAAATTGGGACTTTTTTTTAATGGTTGTTATTCAAATAACATCTCTGAATCTTCACAGCATGAAACACCTCTTTGGCTTGATATTAAAAAAAAGGGGGGGGGCTGGGAAGGTGGCTCAGTGGTAGAGTGCTTGCCTTGCATGTCCGAGGCCCTGGGTTCCATTCCTCAGCACCACATAAGCAAAAAGCAAAAAAAGCCGGAAGTGGCGCTGTGGCTCAAGTGGTAGAGTGCTAGCCTTGAGCTGAAGAGCTGAGGGACAGCGCCCAGGCCCAGAGTTCAGGCCCCACGACCGGACCCCAAAAAAAAAAAAAACAGAGCTGGACTCCAGTGTCTCACGCCTGTAATCCTAGCTACTCAGGAGGCTAAGATCTGAGGATCATGGTTCCAAGAAAGCCTGGCCAGAAAAGTCCGAAAGACTCATTTCCAATTAACCACCAGAAAACCAGAAGTGGCACTGTGGCTTAAGGGGTAGAGTGCTCACCTTGAGCTGAAGAGCTCAGGGACAGCGCCCAAGCCAGATTTCAAGCCCCCATGATCTACCCAAAAAAAAAAATCAATTTGGAAGTATGGCTTGGTTGTTAGTATACCAGCCAATGAGCAAAAACAAACATCAAATAGTGAATTCAAGTTCTGGTCTCAGACAATAAAATGAAATAAAAATAGGAGTTGGGGATGTGACTCAGTTGGTAGAGACTAGCCAATATGTGAAAGCCCCAGGTACCAAGTTCAAGTCCCAGTTTCAGACTAGAAAAACGAAATTAGAAAAGGGGGGGGGTGGTGAGGAAGGGAAAGGGAAGAGAGAAAGAGAGAGATCAGTGTTATGCTCTTATCCTTTGAGCAAGTCACTTGTGCTTTTAGAATTTTTGTTGTATGAATGACAGTACCACCACCTTGCCTACTTCCAAGGATTGTTATGTGATTCAAATGAGGATTGTTTTATTATGTTTGTTTACTTATTTCTTTTGCTTGCTTTTTGGTGTTAGGGATTGAACCTAAAGCTTTGAGCATGTTATTACACCAGTTCTGCACCACTGAACTACATTGTCACCCCAATATTTCAAATAAATTCCTAAATTATAATAGCTATGAATACTACAGGATTGATAGATAAGAGGTTCTTTGAATAATTTTTTAAAACGTGATATTTAGAGGACCATAATAAATTCTTTGAAATGCATTATCTGGATATATAAGACATTCTTTTCTTGTAAAAGGAAAGAATTCAAAGTTTTACTTGACTTTTGGATTTAAGGGTATACAAATAACTGCTCTAAATAAAATTGTAATTATTCTTAGGAAAATATAATGGTAGTTTGGAAATCAAGAGGAAGAATATAGATTTTCAACTTAGCAAATTAAATATTATTTAAATATTAAATCTATCTGTTGTTAAATGATGCTGTATGCTCAAAGGAAGTAGATGCTATAAATAGAATAGATTTAGAGGTAATCTAGATCATCCTTTAGGTAATCATTTGTTAAGCAGTCACTGTATCCACTTAACCCAGTGGACAATACAGTTAGACCTACAATCTCATCTCTAATAATTTTGTTGTCTTTATATTGGGTTTTGAGTCATATTATATGGTTCTCACTTTCATTAACCTCAAGAGGGAGCTTTAACATGATGTTTTTTTCTTAAAGGTTCAACATGCACTAAAAAAATCTGAGAAGGCTTTGGATACCCTAAACAAAGCCATTGTTATTGATCCCAAGAACCCTTTATGCAAATTTCACAGAGCCTCTGTTTTATTTGCAAATGAAAAATATAAGGTAAGATATAGTCCACTTGTCTTCCACATTGTATTAATTATGTCTCTTTTTTTAACTAAAACTTATTTATATGTTCATTTCTTAACTGAAGTGATTAATTTTCTCCATTTTCAAAAACTGTTAATTTTCTTTCATGATTTTATTTCTTCATGAGATAAAGGAAGTATGTGTATATGTGTGGATATTTAGAAACTTATGGTTATTCCTTGTAATAGAAAGGCTTTTTTTCTACCAGGGAATTATTTTAAAAGTGAGACCTTAACCATCATCTCAAGACCAAAATAAATGAATAGTTGAGAAATGGATATATATTCACTATTTTTTGTTATTGGTCATGGGGCTTGAACGTGGCCTGGGCACTGTCCCTGAGCTCTTTTTGCTCAAAGCTAACAGTCTACCACTTTAGCCACAGCTCCACTTCAAGTTTTCTGGTGGTCTCCAATGAGAGTTTCCTGCCTGGGCTGGCTTTGAACCTCCATCCTCAGCTCTCAAGCTTCCTGAGTTGCTAGGATTGCAGGCATGAGCTACCTGTGCCCAGCTGTGTATTCACTTTTTTTTTTTTTTTTTTTTGCGGTCGTGGGGCCTGAACTCTGGGGCCTGGGCACTGTACCTCAGCTCTTCAACTCAAGGCTAGAGCTCTACCACTTGAGCCACAGTGCCACTTCCGGCTTTTTCTGCGGTGCTGAGGAATTGAACCCAGGGCCCATGCATGCAAGGCAAGAACTCTACCACTGAGCCACCTTCCCAGTCCCTGTATATTCACTTTTAAAAGAACATTTAGGGAAGTGGCACTGTGGCTCAAGTGGTAGAGGGCTATCCTTTTCAGAGCTGAGGGGCAGTGCCCAGGCCCAGAGTTCAAGCCCCACGACCGACTCCAAAAATGTTTTTTCTAATAATTTTAGCCCAGTGCTGATGGCTCGTGCCTGTAATCCTAGCTACTCAGGAGGCTGAGATCTGAGGATCGCGGTTCAAAGCCAGCCCGGGCAGGAGAGACCGTGAGACTCCTATCTCCAATAAACCACCAGAAAAAACTGGAAGTGGCGCTGTAGCTCAAGTGGTAGAGCGCTCACCTTGAGCTGAAAAGCTGAGGGACAGCGCCCAGGCCCAGAGTTCAAGCCCCACGACCGACAAAAAAAAAAAAAAGATTTATCTCCAATTAGCCACCAAAAAAAGAAAAAGCCACAGTGGAGCTGTAGCTCAAGTGGTAGAATGCCCAGCCTTGAGTGGAACAAGCTAAGAATCAACACTCACAGCCTGAATTCAGGCCCTACTAATGGCAGGCACACAGACACACTCAAACTCACATGAGTATATAAGAACAGTTACTAGTTGTGTATAAGATGTCCTAGCTGCACTTCTACTTCTCTATAACTTAATGATGGCAGCAATCAACCTGTTGAGTGTGTTGTACTGGTATCTAATCATTTAAGTTACCAAATGGAAAATAAAAGGCTGAATTCTCACATTATATCAATTTTACAGTTTGCATCTGATTCCATATAGAGCAGACCATAATTTACTTAAAGCTCGTCTGCAGTTAGACTGCCCTAGTTGCTTTTTTAGTATGTTCTAGGAATAATAATACTGTGTCAAGTGTTCTTGTAAAGACGATGATGATTTTGTTGTTGTTGTTTTTAGTGTACCCCTGGGACAGATTCTTAATAGTGATACTGGACATGTTAGCTCATGCTTGTAATCCCAACTTTTTGGAAGCTGAGTCAGGAGGATTATGAGTTTGAAGCAATCATGGGCTACATAGTGACAGACACCTTGTCTCAAAAAATCAAAATAAATCAATCTGATTACTGAATCAATGTTACATGCAATTTGTAACTTGCTGACCTAGCCTCACAAGCAAGTTATAAAGTTTATACTTTACCTATATTAATAAGAATACCTCTAGGGGCTGCAGGCATGATTCAGTTGGTAGACTGCTAGCCAATGAGTCAAAGGCATCAGGTACCAAGTTCAAGTCCCAGTCTTGCACCTAAAAAAAAATAAAAGAATACCTCTTGCCAGGTACCAGTGATTCACACCTATATTCCTAATTACTCAGTAGGCTGTGATCTGAGGATCACATTTTGATGCCAGCCTGAGCAAAATAAAATCCAGAAGTGGAGCTGTGTGGCTAAAGTGGTAGAGTTGATAGCTTTGAGCAAAATGGAGCTCAGGGACAGTGCTCAGGCCAGAGTTTTAGCCCCAGGACTGGTATACACACACACACACACACACACACGCACGCACGCATGCGCGCGCACACACACACACACACACACACACAATAATAATAATAATAATAATACCTCTTTCTCTCACTAATGCTAATTTTATGTAGCATAATTTTCTTAGAAATTTTGTCTATTTGCTATACACATTTTATTTATTTATTTTTTTGGTCAGTCATTGGACTTGAACTCTGGGTCTGAGCACTGTCCCTCAGCTCTTTCAGCTCAAGGCTAGCGCTCTACCACTTGAGCCACAACGCCACTTCTGATTTTCTGGTGGTTTATTGGAGATAAGAGTCTCATGGACCTTCCTGCCCGGGCTGGCTTTGAACTGTGATCCTCAGATCTCAGCCTCCTGAGTAGGTAGGATTACAGGCATGAGCTACCGGCACCCGGCTATGCACATTATTTTTAATGATGATAATTGATGATAATCTCTTTAAATACAAATATAATTCTTTTTTTTGCGGGGGGGTCCGGTCGTAGGGCCTGAACTCTGGCCTGGGCGCTGTCCCTCAGCTCTTCAGCTCAAGGCTAGCGCTCTACCACTTGTGAGCCACATTGCCACTTCCACCTTTTTTTTTTCCTGCTTATGTGGTGCTAAGGAATCGAACTCAGGGCCTCATGCATGCAAGGCAAGCGCTTTACCACTGAGCCAACTTCCCAGCCCACAAATACAATTCTTATTCCTATATTTTTCTCTTCTTTCCAACTCTTTAGCAGAGGTCAAAAGATTATTACACAGTTAATTTAGTTCACTGGGAAAAATTTCATTAGCGTTAGTCCAGTTGATATTCAAAGCTTAGAGTTTGTATGAGGGAGAAGATCCAGACAGAACTTGTGTTCTATAACCTAGTTTTTTGTTTTTTTGTTTTTTTTTTTTTGTCAGTGGTGGGGCCTCACCCTGGGCCTGGCCCTGTCCTTCAGCTCTTCAGCTCAAGGCTAGCACTCTACCACTTGAGCTACAGCACCACTTCCAGCTTTTTCTGCTTATGTGGTGCTGAGGAATTGAACCTAGGGCCTCATGTATCAAGGCAAGCACTCAACCACTGAGCCACCTTCCCAGCCCCTGCAACATAGTTTTTCAAGGCACTGTTTTCATAAATTCACACCTAATATGATGAGCTTATTTTTTTTATGATTTTTTAATTGAAAAGGTGATGAGCTAGAGGGGTTACAGTTACATAGGTAAGGCAATAAGTACATTTGTTGTTTTTTTTTTTGCCGGTCATGGGGCCTGAACTCTGGGTCTGGGCGCTGTCCTTCAGCTCTTCAGCTCAAGGCTAGAGTTCTACCACTGGAGCCACAGCGCCACTTCCGGCTTTTTCTGTTTATGTGGTACTGAGGAATCGAACCCAGGACCTCATGCTTGCAAGGCATGCACTCTACCACTAAGCTACCTTCCCAGCCCAGTACATTTGTTTTTAATCATTGTTACCCCATTCCTCTTTATCTCCCACTTATCTGTCCCTATCCCTGCCCCCCCCCAAGCTGTAATGTTCATATCTTTTTT